CCGCGCGTCCTCGGCGCGACGTCGTTGGTCTTGCGTGGAGCAGGCAGCAGCCACGGGCGCGGAAAGCATCGAAGCCAGCGTTCGCGAGGTCGAAATTGCGACAGTTCGCCGGCGCCCCCACCGCACTTGCCAAGTCGGGGAACCCGGACAGGGTTTTACACTTATTGTCTCTGGCTGACATTCGTCGTCGGAATATGGAAGTCAGGATTGAGCCACAATGGCCACGGACGGCATCGCCGTGGATGCAAAGATGATAGCGACGGCGGTGACAGCTATGGCGACGAGGCAACCCTGGCGGCCGCTATCACGCCCATCTACATTGCACCCCGTCGCGCGCACTTGCTCCCAGTAGGGCATCCCTGCTTCGTTTGGATGGCAAGATCAAATTGAAAAACGCGTGTGATTAGGTTGCCGTGCCTCCCCCCCCCATTTCCCCCCCTCCCTCATCAGCCGCGGGGCGCCTTGCTCGAATAGTGAAAATTCCAGCCGCACGCCTCAGGACGCGGCTGGCGGAGAAGAAGAAAGTGCCGCAGCCGTACCTTCACGGCATGGATGGCCTATGGGAGCAGCCCCGACATGGGGCAAGGAAGGGCCCAGCCCCGCCCTCGTGTCTGGGGCCAGGGCGCACTCCATGGGGCCTGCAGGGATGGGCAAGGGCGGCGGGCAGCTCCCCGCCGCCCAGTTGCATACGGGCCAGCAACACCTGGGCGGGGCTAGGACCAGGATAAATCGGTCCAGAGCGTTCCGGAACGCTTTCAGAGCAGACCGGAATGCTCTAGAACGGCCGCGGCGCCAGATACGTCCTCCAGAAGCGCTGGATCTCAGAGATCCCCGATTCGTCGCAGTCCGAATTTGTTCGGTCCCTGTTTCGTCTTCAACCAAGTTGTCTGGGTCTGGATCGGCCCGTGGATGCTGCACGCCAGCGGCCGCAACACCGCCCCGCCTCCTCTCATACACCCGCTGGCTGGCGCCCAGGATGTGGTCGAATGCCGCCTCGGCAAGCCCCGCAAGCGCTAGATGTGGCTTAGACGCGCAGGCAGGCCCTGCGGCCGCTGGAAGTGCATCCTTCGATCTGAGCCTCGTGATCCACTTCTTGGGGCGTCGATCGATCGGGGTGCTGCCACCCAGGCAGCCCCATCCTGGAGCACCTCTTGGAGCACGTCTTGGCACAAACCATCCTGCAGGTCCGAGCAGGAGTCCGGGTTGCGGCCCGTTGGCCGCGCAATACCCACGGTATTCAATCGGATGCAGAAAAAAGTGATGAGGTGAGAGCAAGGAGGAGGAGGAGGAAGAGGAGGAGGAGGAGGAGGAGGAGGAGGAGGAGGAGGAGCAGGAGGAGGAGGAGGAGGAGCAGGAGGAGGAGGAGGAGGAGGAAGAGATATGGGGAGTTCGGCAGGCCCCGGCTCTTGGATGCTCCGATGGAAGCGGCTTTTTGCGCGCAGCCTGGGCTGCGGCAGGCTGGCTGCGCAGCCAGGGGGAAAGCGGGGAGGAGGAGAAGGGGGACGAGGTGTTGAAGTGAGGGGGGGGGGTGCACGGGAGGATGTGGTGCACGGGGCACATGCACGCATCATAGAAGTAGTTTCCGGTATTGGTGGTACCCACACGGCAGTAGCGCGCAGATTGGCTGAGCGGTTAGCGCAGGCAGTATGAATACGTACAGTGAAGTGTCTGGCTTGTCTAGATAGAGTTCAGGCCGAGAAAAAAACGAAACGAAGAAACGGGGGGTGTTGCCGTGACACGCAGGTACTGGCTGGAGCAAGGGGCGGGCTTGCATTGTGCCTAACGCAAGCGTGGGATGAAGGAGAAGCGCGACAGCGTCCCCACAAGCTTCCTCCAGCTCCTCTGCCTCCTCCTCCTACCTCCTGCTGTCCGTTCTCTTCAAGACATTGTTTAGCGGATCTTACACCTCCCATCGTTGCCTTGGGGCGACGCAGCCGTGCCATGCGTGCGGGCTCTGGCGAGGGGATAGCACGCGTCCCGTTAAGGGATGCCCCGCGTTCCATTTAGTAGGCATTGCTCTCCCACACCTCCCCAATTCATTCATGTTGGGGTGTGGTGAGCGAATTCGTGTGTGGGATTCTCTCTTTTCCTCCTCCCTTCTCTCCGTGGCCGTCTTCATCGATACTGGTTGCACTAGATACCACGACTTGAAGCACCATCAGTATTCGCGCAGCCGCATTGCCGCGGCCGCGACCGCGAGAATCCAGCAATTGATCCGAAGCCAGGAGAATATTCAGGGTCTCATCGGGCAATTGCCCGAGGGGGGGCCATGAGTGTGCGGCGCCTCTCTTGGTGACATCTACTCGGCCGGCCTTGATGGATATTTCCCCTGGAGATGTCCCTGCTGATTTCGCCGCACGAAGTTTCATCTCAGGCGTTCGGCAGCACCGAGGGCTGCATTCTGTGTAGTCGTCAGCGAGTGCGAGCGCAAGGCACGGTCTCCGACATGGATTTTGACTGCTCTTGAGGGGGCGTCGGCGCTCGGGTGCGAAGACAGCGATAACGGCCGCGGACGCCTCCCATCTGCCTTTTGAGGGCTCCTGAGGGGCCGTCGGCGCTGCAGTACGAAGATAACGTTCACGGCCACGGATGCCTCCGACTTCTGAGATGCCTTCTGGGGGCTCCTGGGGTCAGGAGGGGCAAAAACACAGACACAATGAACCGTCGACTCCCAGGAAAATATTGGAAAATATGGGAAGTGGGAAGGAAGACGAAAACCCAGAAAACATGCAAAACAGATGTGGAATCCTGGGATTTGTGTGTATTTATTTGTGTGTCCCTGGGCCCCTTAATGGAGGGCCGCGGGCGCGGGAGTGCGAGGATGGCGACGACGGCCGCGACTGCCTCCGACGTGCCCCCTGAGGGATCTTCAGCGAGCGTCGGCGCGGGAGTGCGAAGACGACGGCCGCGCATGCGGGCTGCGCTCGAGCGGCCTGTTGGAGGGCTGCTGGGCAGCTGACCTCCGCACCCTCTGCATCCATGCCGCCACGATCCCGCCCGCAGGGGTGACCCCCTGCAGCTCTGCCCGAGCGTTCCTCTGCCAGAGCTGGGCCACTGCATCTCCGCCCGAGCTTTGCTGGCCAGAGTTCGGCTCTCCTGGCATCCGTGCGTCCACGGCTGCTTCACCGTCCGAGTGACCGCCGCACGCAGACGTACTGGTCCGAGCATTCGCCCCGGCACCGTCACCGACAGCTCGTCTGTGAAAACCATGGCCCCAGACTCGGACGGACGCGCTTCGGCGCAGGACGACGAGCTTTTTCCCCGACTGCACAGGAATGGGCTGGAAGTGAAAGATCAGCCGAGCCAGCAGCCGATCAAAGTCTGCAGCATCCCGGCATCTGTTCGAAAAGCACAAACTTGCGAAGCCCAAGGGGCGCCAGAAGGCGTTCGTGACCACAGAGAAAGTGGCCCCTCGAGGCCCCTCCGCAAGTCAAAGGGCCTCTCCGAAGTCACGGTGGCTACGGTTACAGATGAGATGGGAGAGGCGTGCTCCACCCGGACCTTGCAGAGGGCGCCCTGGAAGAACGACGTCGGCTTCCAGCCTTTGTACGAGACGCTAGACCTGACCCCAGAGGACACCAAGGAGCACTTGAAGTGGGCGGATCGCCACGGTCACCGAACCCCAGGGCACTGGGGCCGCCACGCCCATGCGTTGATAGATATCAAAGTCCCCTCCGTCTACACGCGCGGGGCGTTGCGGAGAGCTGTTGCGAAGCGTCTGGTGCGGGGTGTACTACAGGAAACGTGAGTGAGTGTTCCCCATTGGGTGCGTCAAGCCTAAGACCCTCAAGATACTGAAGAACAGTGACAGGGCCCAGTAGGTTTCCGTGACGCGCGCCATCAGTTTCGAAAGAGTGCCGGCGTGGCACGTCGTGCCAGGTCGATGAACTGGAGAAGAGGCCGCTCGGATGTATTCTGGCCCTTTGTGAAGGCAGCACCGAGGAGTGCGATCTCCACGGTCAAAAGGTCTTGGCGCGTCTTAGAGGACAAAAACCCGACAGTGTACAAGAGCAACAGAGGCCTCCAGGCGAAAGCCGCTCAAGGGGTCCAGATTTTGGACCTACCCAAACGGTCTCCCGATCTGAATCCCTTGGACTTTGCGTTATGGGCCCATTTGCATCGGCGGACGCGCGATGCCGAGCGGACGCGGCCGGAGTTCCAGCGCGAGACCCGCGCTTATTGCGTCGAGCTGCCCCACCGCACCGACACGCCCACCTCGCCAGAGTTCCTCGCCAATATCACCGGGGCACTCGCGAAGCGGTGCGCCAAGCCCACCGCCGCGAGGGGCGGCCATGTCGCCGACGGGGGTCAGCGTAGACGATCCATCCTGCCTCCAGCGGCGCCGCCAGCGCCCGAAACGCGGAGCTACTTGCGCAAGCGTGCGTTTGGGGCGGGGACCCCGCCCGCAGTGCGCACGCCTCGGGAGAACAGGCCCACGTAGCAGGTTGGCAGTGGGAAGGCGAACGCCCCCGCCAGACAGCCGGCGATAGATCCATGCCGTTCGCCGCGGCTGGGCTAGCGACGTTTTTCTGGCGTCCCCGTCGCGCGTTTTGTTGTATTCGGCGCGAAAGTCCATCGTCGCGCGTTTGGCTGGGCGTGGTTCGGAATCTCTGTCTCGCGGCGCATCTGCGCTCCGCTCCGCCAGGGCGTCTCCGCCGGGGCGGGGAAGAAGGGGGGCGCGCGCGCGGGGCGGCACCACCGGGGCCGCGGCGCCCGCGGCGCCCGGAGCGTCGGCCGCAACGAAAGAGAATAGGGCTGGGAGTGCATCTTCCATCAATGGGATCCACGGGCGCTACATTCTCAACGGCGGGCGCCACTCCAGGCGCCACGGGCGCCGCGGCCCAGGCGGCGCCGCATGCCCATCGGGCCACCGCGGCCCCAGCTGCGGCCGCTCCGGCCCAAGCACTGGCCACGAGCGTGGCCCAAGCTGTCGCCCTGCACTGGCGCCTTCGGGGCAGCCCGCGCCTGCCGCCTGCGTCCTCAATGCTGCGGCCCACCAGGCCACTGTAGACGAGGGCTGGAACGAGCTCGCTGCCCTGGGCGACGACGCGCGGCGGAAGCATGTCCACTGGGTGCACGTGAGGATTGGGGACCCAGACCACTGGCAGCCGTCGGCGCTGTCTCGCGGAGAGCTTTGGGAGCACATGCGCCGGTGCCACGGCGAGCAATACCCGGCGGACGCGAACCCAACGAAGTACATCCTCACGCTCGGCATCGCCACGCGCGAGCGGCACCACTATTCCCGGCGCGAGCAAGGGAGGGAGCTGCACGCGCACTTCATCGCCCACTGCCCCACGAGGCACCACTGGCGCGTCGCGCCGACATCAACTTGAGGAAATACCGCGTGAAAGTCCGTTGCGCTGCCCACGAGGGCTACACCACGATGCGCGCGCACCTCCGATGCCCTTCGCCACAGAAGCCCCGCCCAGAGCACGACCCGACCCCTACCGCGCGCCGCGATAACCGCAGGGCGACTTGCCCCAACGCCGCCTGCAGGCTGGCGCCCACGCGGGCCGGGCGAACCGCGGGCAAAGCAAGCCGGACGCGCCTGGAGGCGGCCAGCATGCGGAATCGTGTTTCCGCACCAGCGACCTGCAGCGCACGGCGCAGCGGACAGAAATCCGCACCGCGCCGGCCTCGCGCGCGCACGCGCAGGACCTGGCGGGCAACGGCGACAGCTCGCTCTCCGAGTTCTGCACCGTCGAGGGCGCCGGCTTGCAGGGGAAGCTCAACGCGGCGTGGGCCGCGCACGACGCGCCGCGGGCGCTTGCCGCCGCCCATGCGGACCGCGCGGGCTAGCTCGCCAGGCGGCGGAGGAGTCCGCGTGCCCCTGCAGTGGCGCATGGATCCCAGGGGCGCTCTTTGCACTGCAGATCAACCGCGGGTGCCCGGGTGCCCCAAGACGCTCCGCCATGACATCTACCGAGCGCTCGCCCTCGGGGGGAAGCGCGGCGCGAACGTGGCAATCATGGGTGGACCTGGCATGGGGAAGTCGACGGTCTTCGGGCCGTTGGCCGATGTTATTTGACAAGTGCCAAGCCGCAGCGGCGCGGTTTTTGTTCCATTGGGAGGGGCTATCGGCGCAGAGGTGCTGCGCTAGCAGGAGTTCACCTACTCGAAGCGCACTCTTGCGTGGGAGGACCTCTTGGCCTTGCCGGTCGGCGAAAAGCTGGCCGCCCGCTGTTGCGGGCCAAAGCGAGCTCGGCACAGGAACGCGGCGCCCATGTTCTACACTGCGCGCCAGCATCTGTGCTACCACTATGGACGCGCAGGAGATGGTGGACTACAACAGGCGATGCTCGAGCGTGTCGAGACGAGGAGATGGACGGTGCCGCCACCGCCTGGCGCGCGGAACCTGGACTTCCCGCGGCGCAGAAGGCGCTTCAGTCGCTTCGTTTCTCAGAACGAGAGGGATTTCCAGAGCAGTTCGGCGGCGGCGAGACTGACGCCCTCGCCGGAGAGCCAGCGATAGATCCACGCCGCCCGCCGCGGCTGGGCTAGCGCCGTCTTCCGGGCGCCCCCGTCGCGCGTTTTGCTGAATTCGGTTTCGAAAGCCCCTCGTCGCGCATTTTGCCGGGCGCGGCTCGGAATCTCCGTCACGTTTTGCCGGTTCCGCTGCGAAGGGCGCTCGTCGCACGTTCTGCTGGGGATGGCTTTGAACCCCCGTCGCGCGTTTTGTTGGGCTCGGCTCGGAATATTCGTCGCGCGGTTTGCTGGGCTGGACCCAAAAACCCCGCAGACGCTGGCGGGGCCGGAACAAGGCCGCGGATTCACAGAAGTGTGCTTCGGCCGTTGGCACGCTGGCGACGCCGCCCCAGGCGAAGGAGTGCAGCCCAGCAGCAGTTCGCAGAAGTTTTGTTGCATATTTGTTCGTAAACGTATTTTCGTTCCCTCACGGATAAATTGACAACGTTTCCAAGGGTTTCGCCGCGCCGCCGTGCCCCCCGATGCGGCCTCTATCATCATGACGACGCGAATCACGATGACGTTAATGTCGAGGACGAATGTGATTTCGACGACGGGGACGACCAAGATCACGATGACGAATATGACGACGAAGAGTATGATGGTCATGACGTCGACGACGCCGACATGGGAATACGACTGCCATTTATTTGATTTTCCCTTCCAAAACGCACCACGGACAGAAGATGGACAAAGACATGGGGCCCTTGGCTCCACCCCCCTCCCCCCTTCTCTAGTCAAAGTTGACCCTGAGCATTGGGGAGCACAGTCTCGAAAAGACCAGAAAAAGAAACCGCCGGGGCCTCCAGCGGGCCGGACGTTAACTTTAAGTTTGGGGGGAGAGGGGGCCGAACACGGAATCCAAAACGAAGGTGTTCCATGTGTGTTGTCCCTTTACTGGAGCAGCGGATTTCACTTGCCCCAGGACGGGCTATCTTTCGTCCCTGGTCTTGGCCGCCTGGGTCCCCTTCTCTTTGGGCCCAGTGCACTCCTCCTCCCTATTGCTGTCCCTTCTCCTAATCATCATCTCACTTCTACCCCCTTTTCCTTGTCGCGCGCTGAGGCGCGCTCAGAAGGAGGAGGAGGACGAAGAAGAAGAGGAGGAGGACGACGACGAGGAGTTCATGGTACTTCGCCATCTGTCATCAACCACATAAAGTAGAAAGAAGGAAAAAAATATGAGAGGGGAAAGAGACGGAAGGAAGAGAAAAGGAGAAGTAGGAGGAGGGAGGGCGGAGGGGGGAAGAGGAGTTCGCCAGCATCCCCAGTAGATCGCTCCTCGTCCTTCACCCCCCCATTCCTCATACCTCCGACGTGATGGTGGTAGCATCCATACGGGAGCCATGGAGCTCTCGACCCCTCCCCGGGAACCAGCGTTTCATCCTGAGTCGTGTTGTCGGCGACATTTGGGACCCGAAATCACCCCCTCGAGGCCGAAAGCGCCGAAGATTCCGCCTCGGGACCTAACGCTCGAGGTCTTTTGGGACAGTCCTGAATGTTTCTCGAGTGGCTTCGGCCGCCTCCTCTGCTTTCCCCTCCTTCCTGCATCATGGCACAATTCGCCACAACGATATCCCCGCTTAGGTAGCCCTCCGCCAGCGCAGTCACTTTGCCTAGCCGCCGACGCAAAAAGTTTCTCGAGTGGCCTGGAGGTCTATCCCACGCCCCCGGCGGAGGACAAGAAGGATTCGGTGCAGACCATTTCCATGCAGTTGGAGGAGTTCCGCCGGGCCCGGGAGGACGAGCGCCCTCTCCTCCCCGTCACCTCGTCGCCATCGCCGCCTGGGTGGGCGCCGCCGTCTGCGTCGCCGCCGTCACCGTCGCCATCGCCGTTTGCGTCGTCGACGTCGCCCTGGCTTCCGTCGCCGCACGCACCGTCTTCGCTGCCGTCGTCACCGCCATCGTCCTCTCCGAAAGGCAGGGTGGAGGACAGCTGCCCAGACAGGAGGAGAGATGGAGGAGAGATGGAGGAGAGATGGAGGAGGGCAGCGGCTAAGAGACCGAGATCTGCAGCTCCGCTTTCATCTGACGATCGCCGTTGTCCCACAGGTGGGGCAAAAACGTCACCGTGCAGACTGGAGGGTCAGGTCAGGGCGCGCTGTTGGGCGCCTGCTCTGCAATGACCATGCCGTCGTCCGCCAACGGCGCGGTGGTCGCTTCAGAACCGAAGTCGTTGGATGTGTGGACGTCCCTCGGGGGCTCCAGGAGGTTTCTCGCGTCGCTGAGGGCCAGCTCCATCAAACGAGGCCCAGGAGAGGTCTGGTAGCAAATGTGAGGGGAGAGGGGGAGAAGCAGGAATAGGAGGAGGAGGAAGAGGAGCAGCAGGAGGAGAAGGAAGAGGAGGAGGAGGAGGAGGAGGAGGAGGAGGAGGAGGAGGAGGAGGAGGGAAAAGGAGGAGGGGGAGGGGAGGAGGAGGAGGGGAGGAAGGAGGAGGAGGAGGAGGAGGAGGAGGAAGGAGGAGAGGAGGAGGAGGAGGAGGAGCAGGAGCAGGAACAGGAGCAGGAGGAGGAGGAGGAGCAGGAGCAGGAGCAGGAGGAGGAGGAGGACAAGGAGGAGGAGGAGGAGCTTTTCGCCAGCTGCCGCCCCGCAAGCGGCCCGGGACCACCTCGACGTTTACCTCGCAGCCCTCCGCCAGTTCCGAGAGCACGGGCTGCGCGCCCACGAGGAGCTCGCGTTGCTCCGCATCTTCGCCAACGGCGCGGCCCTGCACCACGCAAGGGCGCACCTGCTTGACGAGGCGCGGCGCCAGGGTTACGACGCAGTCCTCGCCGCTGGCGGGCTCGGCCTCCAGGACCTCGCTCGCGCACAGGAGGCTCCCAGCCTTAGTGGGGTTGGCAAACGTGTCTGGCCGGCGTCTGCAGGGAGCTCGGCCTGCCCAGCCTCGAGGCCTTCCAGCAGGCTTGCCCGACGGCGTGGGGGGAGGCCGAGGGCGCGGGCCGCGCGCCCCAGGCGCTCGGCGCGGACTGGCTTTGCGCCGTCGCGGAGCCGAGGGCCAAGGCGCAACTGGCCCTCGCGGCGCCTGAGCAGCGCGCGCGCCAGCAGCGGCTCCCGGGCGCCCGGCCGCCGAACCGCGCAGCGCAGCGCCGCTCGGCCAGCGGGAAGGGCGCGGGGAGCTGGCCTCTGCCGCCGACGGAGGAGGACCACGTCATGGCGGACGCGCGCTTCCTCCCAGCCCTGGCGCTGCGACTACAGTTGCCTGCGCCCGCAGGCGCCAGCGCCACCTGCCTCCGGCGCCGGGACGGCGGCGCGCTCTGCGGGGCCAACCTGGCCGCGACGCTGGGGCACTGCCCGGGCTGCCACGTCGGCGGCGGCACGAGCCGCCGCCGCGACGGCGTCAGGGACTGGCTCGCCCGCTGGCTGCAGGCCCGGGGCGCGACGGGCGCAGGCGCGGAGCAGTTCGCGCCCGCCTGGGGCCGGGCTCGGGCGCACGGCTCTGTCGAGGCAGCCCGCTTCGGCGCGGTCTTCACCGACCCCGCGGCCGGCGTGCCCCACGTCGACGCGGCGGTCACAGAAGCCACCCTGGGCGCAGACGCGCCGGCGGGACGGGGCCGCGCCGTCCGGGGCGGCGCGGCGGCGCGGCCGCGGCGGCGCGGCCGCGGCAGCCGGGGGGGAGCGCATGCACATGACCCAGCCCCGGCTCACACGGCCATCGCGCTGGAGGCACTGGGGCGCATTGGGGCGCGCTGGGGCGGAGGCGCAGGCGCCCCTCCGCACTTGGGCGCGCGGCGACGCCGCCGTGCTGGCGG